TTTGCATGCCTCCAAGGAACTTGAATTATATTTATGAATTCACACTCCCTTGAGTCAATTCATTTATTCTTGACAAAATCCATGACCTGTTCCCACTCAAGGACTACTCTTTCATGCAGACTGTTGATTTCTGCATCAAAGCGTATTGAATCTGGATGCTGCTTGTCCATCAATCGTGTTTTGCTCTTTTCTCTTGTCGCCATCCTTTCTTTTCAATCCACTTTTACCACGCTGACTTGTGAGACAATTGAAAACCGAAGGCTCAACAGGAGGCTCAAATCATTCTGCTGCTCCCCGGTGCGTAGTTCATATCGAGCAAAGCCGCAATTTTCTCCACACCTCTGCAGCGCGTCGGATTTGGTAGAATGGCATCCTGAGCTTTTGAGGTTATCAAATAGTGATGTTTCAGCCCGAGCTAGGAGGCACACAAAGATCCTTGCGTGGGTACTCCTAATTACAGGTTGAAGTTGAATGTCATGGCGGCTGTAATCTGTATTGTCATAAAATTTGAAGCGTCTCCTCCAGACGCAAGGGGCTTTCATTTTTGACACAATATGGAAGTGGCATCTTAGAAACTGGGGGCTCTTTGAACCATGAGGATAGTATGACAAAATGAAGGGCGATTGTTGAGTCCTCCAGCCTGACATTGCCTGGGGAAATGGAAAAATATAATTGAATAAAGGGAGTTCATTATTATCAGTGACTACGTTTACATGCAGCCAATTGTTGGGTTATGGTTGGGTTAAAGTCACTATTTGGGTTTCTGAAACATTAGGAATAACCTGTTTACATGCGTGAGCAGAGAGTTTCTCCTGTATACATGGAATTGCAATATCCCGATGTAAACAGCAACGCGTGGTTGGCGTCACGACGTACGGACAACCTTAAGACGCAATATGCGTCATTTCCGATTCTTCTTCCTGTATCCAAAGACAACAACAACAGCAGCACGCGGATAATGAATATTTCGGGGCAGATAGCGATTGCCTTTGTTTGCGCTTTGATGCTGGTCTCGCCATGTTTGCTTCCGGGTTACTAAACGCGGATTTTTGTATGGGCCGAGAAGTTTCTCTACTCAAAAGACCAAGATTCTTTGCGAATAGAACATGCGCACAACACAAATCCCTATGGGGATATGCCGATACGAGTTTACATGACCAAAAGTTCGGGTCAGAAAAGGGGTACCCCAGGTATAATATCCCTGTTTTTAAAAGCGGTTTTTATGAGCATATTCAGGTTTTTGCCGGTGTTTACATGGCCGTTCGCGACCGGGTTATTGCTAATATCCCGGTTTTGACATAAACATAGTCAGTGGTAGTTTTTGGACCAAACATTTGAAAATACCAGTAGCCGATGCATTTACACCTTTTAGTGTCTTTCATCTTAGTTCCCCTCAAAATCTCAGAGATATTGTACAATTAATAGTTTCTGGAGGTAAATTACCAATTTTAAGCCAACTGAGAAACTACAAATTTGTTTAAAGCAACGGCAGAAGATGTCATACTGAATGCTCCTCTTACCAGCATTGTTATATAAACTCTTATCTTCTGTAGTCAGTACTGAACATGACATTTGGCATGGGAGTTGCTTATCACTCCACCATCCATTTCCCATCAGAACTCTCTCCATTCCTTGGGTTTCATTTCATTCAGTGTCAGAGTGTGGAAGGTCTTTGCAAAGTGAAACAGATAAAGCAGTTCTGTTCTGCTTAAGTAGTAATATATATTGACATGTCCGCAAAATAGAAGGGAAGAAAATTACTGTGGGAAAGGAAGAAGTGATAAAACTGACTGAAGGGTTTATCAAGCCTTTAGGAATACCTCTTCTTCAAGAAAAAAAAATTGTACATCAATAGCACTCTTTCCCAAATGCACCTAATATTTCAGTCCCACTTTGTCTCATTTTAGTTCATGCATGCAAAACAAGTTTTTTCATTTGGCGTGAATTCATTTATTCCAGCTGCAGATGATAATGGCTTTTCAACCCGCATTTTTTATGTCTGTTAGGTGACTGCATGCTGTTGAACACAGGCAGTTGTCTGACTCTTGAAGCCAAACGAGATGGTAACATGATGGGACAGCTTGTGACCCAGAGGATGCAGCTGTCTTTTAGAGGAAACAAATGTAGATCAGAAAGGAGTAGAGGAAGAGAGCTGTTTCATGCATGATTTTGTACCAAGATTAAATCTGTTCTCAGGTTGCTTGCATCCCATTTTGCTAATCTTGACCATTAAAAATAGTGTTTTTTTTACTCACAGACTTTCACATACGCAAGCATTTAACGAAATCACCTCCATTTCATGAGCGCACACCTTGCATGCAAATGCACCCGATTCACATTGCACTTAAACAAGCCCTGTGGCTATTGAATAAACACATTTTTCAAAATATAGTGAATGCAGTGTAATTTGTCATCATAGCCTCTGCAGAATCATGTGGCTGTGTACCATCCGCCCTTGTGCCCCTTAGTAATATGCATGTTGCGCTTGGCGCGGTTTGGTAAACAGCATAATTGAGATGGCTTTTGATTGGCGGTCACTGCCCTCAACCGTGTGATTGATTTGACATCACAGCGTAAGGTTAGGGTCAATCAGCGTTAGCCTGTTGTTCTGCTGCTGCTTCCTGTCTTTTTCCTCCTCCTCTTGCATAAACCATACTCATGGGATCAGTCTTTTATTTATTATGATGGATGCTTATGAAGTGCAGAGCATCACATTTTGAGTGCGCACTGGCCCTGGTGCTGTATGTGTAAGGATGCCAGGAGAATGCTGTCAGCAGGGCATGGGAGAGATGAAGAGCCTTGTGATGCAAGAGCAGACTAGACTGCTCAATATTGATCACCAGATATTGCAGACATCAACTTGGCGCTGCGATGCCTGATGGTGGTAGTTTACTTCCCCATGCAAACGGCACTGCTATAGTTTTAGAATGTACAAGGACAGCGGCAGACCGCAATCGGGAGGGATTTTAAATGCTGAAATGTTTTCCAAAATGCATTATAATCAAGTTGCTCATTGACTCATTTAATTTGTCCTAATGAAAAACTATTTGAAATGTCACTATTTGTGTAATTGTGTTTGTTGGTGCAGGAGCACATTTCACCAGATATCAGTTTAAGGCAGCCTATACTGACATTCACCTGTGTTTTTTTTTTTTTAAGTTTGCAAATACACATGCTGGGCGAAAGGTTTGCATAGTACACCAGCTGTATGTCATGCACGCAAAAGCACTAAAAGCAACTCAGCTTGCTCTAATGTTGCCTCTCCCAGGTGATGACTCAAGGTTTACATGGCTAAGTCGAAACGGTAATGGTCCACCGAGGTTGTAGGGGGCTGCGTGCATTTGATGTGTTAATGCATAGAGGTTCCCATGACCTCACTATGGTGAGTCATTACCTGTTATGTGGGCGTTGGACATTTCTTGTTGCACATTGACTTTATGGATGTGTCCCAATGGTCAATGAATCATCTCTTCGGACTAGAGCTTATCCATTTAAAACTAGTATATTACTAAATATTTGATGCATGAATTTCTAAGGCCTTTAAAATTACTACTAACATGATCAAAACTTTCGATGTTTCAAAAATCGATGTTTCACGTCAGTCAGTAAAAAGGCCTTTTTGTACAATATATAAAAATGTCCAACTTGAGGTCAGGGTACTGTCTTTTTGCTGCGAAACCTTTAAGAAACGCAAGAATAACCTTTATTAATATTTCATGATCAACATTTACTGGACCGAAGCAAGTTGCATTTAGAAAAAAACGTGAAAATGTATGTATGTAGGCTTTTGAGAGACATTTTCTCACACATTTCTCAATCTTTATAATTTATTTTCTTATTTATTTTGTCTAAATGTTTAAATTAAAAAGTGCATTCATTAAAAACATATTTCATATGTCGGGCTTTACGCGGTTAACTAGCATATTAGCATCATTCAGCACTTTGTAAATATAAGCCCTCTTGGTTTTTTTTATTTTATGGCATTTGGAATCAGCTTTGTAGTTCTAGCTGTTTCTGGCTTGATGCTCTGATTGCTCATTAACCAAACCACGCCGTGTGCTTTTGAGCCTGGCGACACTTTACTTTACGTTCCGCATGAAATGCGCACGGTAGCCTGGAACGTTAACAAAGCCTTCTCCACCTCATCTGCACACTGCAATGTCAGCTGACCTCTGCTAACTCTCTGCGCTGGGCTCTTCCACCCCCTCCCTCCTGCGCTTCTCTACGCTAGCATGCAGTCCTTTGAGATATGCTGATGTCAGGATTTAGCACACTCCTGCCACCAGATTACTAAGACTCAGACTTTGCTCTGCGCATCTTCTTTTAAAGAGTGTGTTGTATCTCTTTTCGTGCACACACACCATTATATATGGACCTGTGTGCTTATAATGACACTGTTGCCCCGTCATACGGCTGTGCTCATGGTTACTCAAGACCGCATGCATGAATACATCCATATTTAATCACGGCACATGCTGCATGGATTCACATACAGTACATTTATGTGGCTCCATGCTTTCACCTCAAATGACAAATTCTCCTGCTAAAGACTGTTTATGGTGGCTTGCTTATTGCCTGGGGAGAATGAGTGATGCCTGACAGCTGATGGGGGAATTCAGGACCACAGTCCTTTGTATCTAATTATTCATCAGGAGAGAGAAAGCCTCTGCTTCCCTATCGCAAAGCAAGAAATGGATCTTGTAAAGACACATAATGGAATAATGTGCATGTTTAAACTATTCTTTCATCTCCCCAGATGCATTTCGTATCACTTTCGTTCTAACACGTCTGTTAATCAGTATTTGTTCTTTGTTTTGCAGTGAGGATAATCAAACAGCATTGAAAGAAAATGCATTAATATTGAGATTTTCTTAGTCCACTCAGGGCCGGCGCTAGCCATTTGGGTGCCCTAAGCACAAATGCTTGGTGGTGCCCCCTTAACAACCCCCTCCCCCCAACCCCAACCACCCACTCACCCAAGGAATAACAACCATTAAGAATTTCTTAGTTAGGTTCTCTTTACTTCCAAAATAACTGCTGCAAATAAATACATTTACATTAACAATGGCACCAAATATGAAAAGAAATAAATAATAAAAAGGTTAAAATTATAAATACCAAAAAACACCACAATTACTAAAAACACATATTTGGAACTGGCTACAACTGCTGGTTGATGGTTCTTCCTCCTGGCCTTGAGTTGCTCCTTGCATGTATTTTAGCATTGACCCTGCATTCAGAAATACAAGACAAAATATTCAGGGATTCTACTGAATCAATAACCATCATACAAAAATATTGCACACATTAGTCTTTTATATAATATAGGCCAGGGGTGCCCAATCCTGCTCCTGGCGATCGACTGTCCTGCACAGTTCATCTCAAACCCTAATCAAACACACCTGAAGTAGCCAATTAAGGTCTTTAGGATCACATTCAGGTGTGTTTGATTAGGGTTGGAGATGAACTGTGCAGGACAGTCGATCGCCAGGAGCAGGGCACCCCTGATATAGGCCTATGTTTCACTGGAACATTTAAAATTCAAAACTTTATTCTACCTTTAAAAGAGGTCTGATGAGGCACAGTATAATAATTCTGTACATAATTTGTAGGGCTGGGAAAAGATGAATCGCGATTAATCGCATCCAAAATAAAAGTTTGTGTCTACATTAATGATATAGGCCTATGTGTGTGTGTGTACTGTGTATAGTTATTTTGTATATGTATTTAAGAAAAATTTGTTATTTATATATAAAATATTTTAATATATATATATATATATATATATATATATATATATATATATATATAATATAAATTATCTATAAATATATACAGTATATACATGCAAATATTTCTTAAATATATATGTGCAATTGTGCATATGTGTGTATATTATATATACAAAATAATTATACACAGTACTCATGTAGAAACTTTTATTTTGGATGTGATTAAGCTTTTCCCAGCCCTAATAATTTGACACCTCCATATGAAAATATACAAACAGTGAGATTGTGTTTTTTTTTTTCTAATAGCAGTTTCACCAATAGATGTCGCCCTTGGGCCTTTTACCGCATTATCCGATAGAACAACAACGAAAAAACATATCTAAGCGATCTTCCTTTTCTTCTCAAACAAACTAACTGCATCTTAAACAGCCCAAGTAAAAAAAAAATTCCCGGGGAGAAACCCCCGGACCCCCGTTAAAATAAAAAATTCTAAATGCAGGGCAAATTAAGCCCTTGATCATTTGCACAACTAGCGACGCCCCTCTGGACATGCATACACGAAGCAAGGGTGCCTACAAAACTAACACTTTTATTTAAAACATTGTCTTACCTGCAAACGAGTATCATCCCACTGTCTCTTCTTTTTCCTTTTTTCCGCCCCCGACTCTTGGTGCCTTTTCGAGGCCATGTCTGATGTCGATCAGGTGTCTGCCAAATTTGACACTGATTGAGGAACAGACCACTGCGAGGTGGGGAAGGGGGGGCACCAGAGGGAGACTGGCACAGGAGATTCACCTTTTTCTCCACTAATTTGGTCTAGGCCTATATTACTTTTGTATTGCTTTTGTATATTAACATGCTTTAGACATATTGTATTTGTTATTTATACTAGTAGCCTATTGTGATGATTTTTCACGACCCAGATTTTTTGGTGCCCCCCCCAAGCACTTGGTGCCCTACGCGCAGTGCGTGGTGTGCGTGTGCGGAGCGCCGGCCCTGAGTCCACTTGCAAATGGTTGGTTTCAGGCGTTTTCTTAACTAGGAAAATTACAAGTGCAAACAACATTCTAAATGTTTTATGCAGTTTTTGATTTAAAGATGTTTAAATATAAACTCAAAATCAGAATTTTTGTCTTAAATTAATGTCAAATAGTTGCTGTTCTTGAGTCGTCTTAGATGGAAAATCATTGCCTTTTTATTCCCAAGGAAAGATTAAGCATGGTTTGTAATATTTTCTTTAAGCTCACGCCTCATATGATACGTGCTCTGCATTTGTAGTGCAAGTCTTTTTCCTGTTCACGTAGGATGACTTTGGTTGGGTTTACTGTTCTCTGATGTCAGGTCAGCCATCTTTTCACCTCAGGGAAAGTGCGGTGATGTCTGTCAGATTTCCTCCACATCCTGTTTTATCTCTTACAGGAGAAGCAGACATCATGAAGGATTTGTCACGATGGTTATATGGCCTAAATATTTTCTCTCAACTGATTTTGATGCTAGAAGATTAATGGCAGACATTTTGTGTGAATCATTTATCCCACAATGAAACAAACAAACAAAAAAAAAAACTAAACAAAAAAACAATGTAAATCTGAGAACAGGATTATTGCCCTCCATAAAGACTAAATGATTTCACCCTAGTGCTCTGTGTCCCTTGCAAGTAAATTATTGGCTACATCTCTATTCAGATGATATCTCCATAAGTAATATTTGTGGCTGGCCTAAGTGGGAACAGCAATCCACCATCTGTAGTGAAATAAGGGCCTGAGTGCTATGGGATGAAAGGATCTTTTTAAATATCCACACTTTCCAGTGAGATGACTCCTGATTGGAGGATTATGTCACTCTGTTTGTATGGCTTATGCTCATTGGTCACAATGGCACTATTTAACACAATAGCCCAGGATCAGTTTTGAGCGCTTTTCGGTAGATTTAACAGATTTAAATCCCCATTAATTGGCCATTCCATCACTTGCTTCATAACATGGACATGCATACACATCAGTAAGTGTAAGCCTGCAGATAAGATGTAATTGTGACCCAGTAACACATTTACCGGTGCTAGTATAATCTTCACCCCATTAGACCTCTCTTTTCCCTTGGATTTATTTTTATATGCATATAGGCTACTATGAAATCTGAGCTCTCTGATGCAAATGGCTGATAAAGAAATAGTACATGGCAGTTTTTTGAAATATTGACTAATGCATCAAGCCAAACGTTGTGCAATGTTCTGTATTTGGCAAGGTGACATATCCATTGAAGTTTATTGATTGTCTGCTCAGTCATAGCAAACTGCTCCTCAACAAGCCACATGATTTTAGGGATCAATTATGGTTGCAGAAAATCCCCATCCGTAAGTGAGCAATAATAGTGAGTTTTTCTGTAACAAACAGCACAAAATATTGCACTTTATAGTTACAAATTGTGGTTTGTGCCGCATCATTTTAACTTCTCATCATCGGTTTAAGTGTAACTGCTTCTCAGTTCATTTATAAACTCTTGTGATATATAAAACTGAGTCTGAGAGACATTCCCTTCACCGTTAAATCAGCACTGAGTGTCTTAAGTGGAAATTTTATTCACAAGTCTTGAGAGTTAGGCTGTTCATGTCATCGGAATAAATGAGGAATAATCTAGGCTAAGAATTGTACTGTAGACTGTGTGTGTGGCTTCTGTTGAAAACCTCAGGTTATCTCGTCCACAGCTGTACGTTTCCTAAACATTTAGTAAAGAACAAAAACCTGTTAATTGAATGGGTTGTTAGACTAAAGTCTAAAGGAATCTCACCCCCTTTTCTGAGATTAAATGTGCCCGAGGGGGGATACAGTGTGAGAATTACTTACATTTTGTGGTTCTTTTCCTCCTTTGAATCTTTTGAAGCTAACTGGAAGAGTCACAATGCCTGTAGGGGCTGCCTAAAATATATATTTCAACGCCCACATTCCCCCAATCCTTTCCTCTCGCGTTCAATCCCTTTCATTGTATTTCTTCCACATATTTCTCTTTTACCCCTCTCTCGCTGTCTCTCTTTTAACTTCTCCAGCCTGGTCATCAATACCTCTAGCTAATCCTGCTGAATTAAATTGAATTCTGGTGTTGTGCTTTACATAAGTATCCTCTGAGACATATTCCTATAAGAAGTGATTCAAATGCAACTGGAAGTTGAAAACCCAGCAGTTTGACAGAGTTTCAGATGTCGCTGGGGGCCAGTTTGTCATCAATGTGGGCCAAGACCCGTTGACGATCCTCGTCTGTGTGTAGTAGGTATTGCGGTGTAGTCTGCTTTAAGGCTTCACACTTGTTTCAGATGCTCGCAAACGTGTCAATTACTTTGTCTTTGAAAGACAGACTGGGCAAAAGGAGCAGATTGAATCGGGTCTCTGACTCATAGACTCATAGACTAATTACACAGAGAAATCTGTTTGCTGCTCTTTCAACCATAGACATATGCTGAAAGACGGTTGGCTAAAAGCAATCTCTCTCAAGGTGTATGCCTTTGTTGAGTTAAAAATAAATAGCTTATCTTGTTGAGGCTGGCATAATTATTATTTTTTAGTGTTTGTTGTTCCCCCATTTATAAAATCCAATTTTAGGGCGTGAGTTCTTGTGGAATACCTCTAAAACTGAGAATATGGATACTTCCATTGAGGGTCTGCAACTTCATTGAAAACGGAAAAAGTTTCTGTCGTTGAAAGTCACTGTCAGTATGAACGGCCCTTTAGGGTGTTTCCTGTTAAGAGACCTCCTCCTCCATGAGCTTGTTGAAACACATATGTGAAGGTTGTGAATTGTTCTCTCTCTCTATATGATTTCCCCTTCAAAAATCCCTCCCACATAGTTTGAACTAACATAGATCGTCCGTCCCTTTATGTACTGTGCAGCGAGTTGGATTGTGGAATCTCTTCTGTGTTTTTCTCTCAGTTGGTTGTCCTAAAACCTTTTGATCCCTTTATGCTCAGCCACCTCTTGCAGCTTAGGACAAGAAAGCAGACAATATACCAAGGTTATAAATGTCCCTCTGCCCCTCCACAGCACTGCACAAATATCACCCTAATTGAAACTTTTACTCCCAAACCAACAGTGGCTTGTGAAATCCTGTCTCAAGCAGCTATGGAGGACTTGGCAGAGAGCATTAAAGCTGGGAAAGATGAAATGTGCTCTGCCCCTGGGAGGAGTTTGCAGTGGCTTTAGGCGTATGGAGACCCCTTTTATAGATCTTTGGAACTACCCACGTTGCTTCATCATGATTTGAGTGGGAGGTACCATTACAGAGTGCAGGGGGGGATTATGCTATAATCGTGTTGTCTCTCTGGATACACTTTCAAATAGACACTGATAGATGGCTGTTCTGAGGAGCAGATTGTTCACCTCATGGAGTCTTTTTTTTAAATTCCTTGCAGGATTTTAAACCTGTTTATCTCTTTTGAAGTAAATGTTTGTCCCCGTAAAGCCTCATTTGGGCCTCGGTGGCTGCACAGAAATCACTGCAGATTACTCTTGAGTGGAGTTTAGGGTTCATATCTCGCTTTGGAGATAAACACTTTTGAGGCTGCATTTTGGGGATTGCTCTTTCAAGCGTATGTCAGAGTGACATTTCATTGCACTTTTTGCAAAAACAAAGGGTATATTTTCCATGTACAGGCACTGATGTGTGATATCATCTTTGAGGCAAATGTCAGCTGTAAGTAGGCCTTTTATTCCAAACGATGTTTTCTTCCAGACATTGCTTTGACAGGTTTGTTTTCTTTTTTCCGGTGTGCTGACAGAAATTTACTCGGGCCGATCTCTGACAGAGAAAAATGCATCAGCCAGACGACAGCTGGCGTATAGATGATGTCATATTCTGATCAGTATTTGCTCTGTAAACTCTCATTGGCTTGTTGCAACGGAATATAATCCGCTTGAAATGACTCCCCTTCACCTCTGTAAGATAATGGTTTAAAGGGCACCATTATGTCGCCAATGCTCAAAACATGAAATGATTTTAAATTAGTTTTTGTTCATTTGTATGAGAGTATTGTTCAGTTAGGGGGACTTCTCTCTGCTAGTTTGATTTTAAAGAAATAAAACCAGCAATTTTAGTATTAAGTGTAATTTATACTTACTTAAGATAATAATTACATATCATTATATTAATTACTCTTTAATATTGTATTAAAGTATTAAAATCAACAGGTTTAATTAGGAGAATTCTCATTTGCTCTTTTTATCCAGTTAATTATTTTACTACTACTATTAAAATAGTTAACCAAATTCTGCTGCCAAATGTACCATTTTATAGAGAGGCCATGTTTAGTTCACGAAAGGCTAATATTTAGTTTAATGTAATTGGGAAGTTGCTGGGAAGTACATTTCTTTTGCCTGAGTAGAGTGACAGTTTGAAAATGAGAATCCTTATTCCTATGATAAATGTTTTAACATGGATGAAATATAGTGAAGAAATGTCATTTTTCAAGTAGTCAATGTATCCCCTATCTGAAGAATCATGATAAAATGGAGAATGAAGCATGTTTTTACCTGTAAAATCTACAAAGAACACTGTTGAATAACGTGAGAAGAAATCAATTGACTTGATGAAAGTGGAAACATACCAATAGCAATGTTACCTTATTAATATTATGCCTTTAGACGTTCCCTGTATTAAGTGTTGTACATGTAAGTTGCTTTGGAAAAAATAATCTGTAATTAACTAACTATGATGTTGTGTTTTTAGTGCTTGTTTTCTTGTGCTTTACATACAGTATGCCTGATGAAGGTTGTGAGACTGTAACGTTGCTAATAAAATTTTGATTCTCATTTGCAAGTACTGATAGTGTGTGCAGGAGTTTTTTTGTATGCGTTTTCTTGAATATTTTACAATAACTGGTTATCCTATTGACCTACAATGACCCCTTTCTATAACAGAGGTTCGGACTAAAGGAAAGTCTGTTAGATGTCAATAAACGTGGTCAGTTATAGCAAAATACAAAAACAGTGCATTGAAGAAGTCT